CCCCGGGTGATGTTCACGGAGCCGCGGGCCCCGCCCGGGGGAGCCACGGCCATTGGTGGGCCGGCTGTGCCTTCACGCCGTGCCCGTGGAGGTCCGCCCACGCGCTCCATGAGACGGCGAAGAAATCTTAGCTCGGGGGAACTCGCTGGACGAGACTGGTCTGTGGGGCAGATCTCAAGAGCGTTAGGGTCTCGTCAGATGAATTGCTGACACTGCAGAAAACCCTCGAGGACCCCACCCCAAGGCTGCTCCCGGGTAGCTCAGCGCCATGCAACCTGACCAGAACAGGCAGCTGCTCCCCACAACTGCTCTGCCCACATCTCAGGCGGCACATGGAAAATACGACCTCCCTCCCGAAGGGGGGCTCTGTTCACACGCCTCGCCACAGTCACTGGTAGCGGATGCAGTTGCTGAGAAGGGTAACTGCGTTTCTCCAGACCCGCCCCCGCGGATACGGACTTACTCAGGCCTGCTCCTCAGCAGCCGAAGCCCTTGTGGCAAAAGGCGACTCCATAAACTTCTCGACGTTTTCTGATTTTGTCGCCTACAGGCCGGGGGCAAGAGAGCAGCGTGTGCGCTCCTCTCTCAGGGCCCCCTCCTGGCTAGGGCTGCACGCCAGTCTTCGGACTCTGCCGACACAGCAGCAGGGAGCATCGCTGCTGTCAGCTGTAGCAAAGCGCCAGGCCGCCTGGCTTGCTGGGATTCCCCAGGGCATCCACCCTGCCTCAGGAGTAGCTCCTCGCCGAAAGACTCGAGGGCCGCTGTCCAGCCTCTTGGGGTTTGGATGCCTGCATGGAAACGCAAGCGAGGCAGGTGGCTTACATCCCAGGGTTCCAGACCCATCCCGTGCACCCAGACCAAGCACTACCAGCGATGGCCAGACACGGACCCAACCCCCAACTCCCCAGGTCTCAACAATCAGCGTCCAAGCAGCAGGTCGGAAGGTGTGCTTGAGGCCAGTCAGCCCTCCCCCAGATATTGCTGCCAGCACTGCATCCCCCCAGCTGCCTGGCGCTGCTTCCCCCAGACGGATTCGGAAAGCCTCCCTGGCTGTGCCGCCCGTCCCTCTCCCCCCGCTCCTCCTCAGGGCCCCTCTCACGCGCCCTCGTGAGACCGGGAGCAGGCGAGACCGTTCTGCACATGGCGGAGGGACCTCACGGGCTGCTGCCTCCTAATGCGGAGGGAATCTGGATGCTGGACACCCGCCCTTGGTCTCCGGAGTGAAAGGCGTCTGCCGGAATGCAGCGACGACGGATGCTGATGTTAGTACCGTTCCAGCTTGTTTGCAGCCCGTGACCTGCACGACCGTCCACCAACCCACAGGCCATTTCTTTGGCCCCCCGGTCCTGCCCTTCGGCCTTTCCGCAGTCCCCCGGCTGGAGGGAATCTGGATGCTGGACACCCGCCCTTGGTCTCCGGAGTGAAAGGCGTCTGCCGGAATGCAGCGACGACGGATGCTGATGTTAGTACCGTTCCAGCTTGTTTGCAGCCCGTGACCTGCACGACCGTCCACCAACCCACAGGCCATTTCTTTGGCCCCCCGGTCCTGCCCTTCGGCCTTTCCGCAGTCCCCCGGCTGTCCAAAGTGCTCCCTGTGGCGCGGGGGGGAAGAAGCCGCTTTACGTAGACACTGGCCTGATCGAGACTCGTGCTCGCGAAGCCGTCAGTCGCTCAACAGTCTACAAATGACCCTCGGGAGCGGCGCGCCCCTAACAGCGCTGTTACACCCTCACATGTTCCATCTTGGCCTCATCAGTGCCTCAGTGCGCAGCCAGGCCCTGTCTCCACCTCCCAGGTCCTGTGGGGGTGACCACAGCCATAGTGAAGTGAAGCAAGCCAGGCTGCCCTGGGGCTCACAGGACTGGCTCCTGCCAGCGTTGGCACCACACAAGTTCAACTCGAACAAACCTCCAGGCGTGCCAGCCTAGGCTAGGGCTCAGTGGTGGTCACTGTGCGGATTCGCTTCCTCCTGAATCGATCTCCACACCGGACCGCTCTCGACAGGGCGGGGCCCAGCGCGGGAGGCTCACAGTACCGGCATGATGCTCTCCTGAATCAACGCTCCACATCAGTGTGCTGGAACAACGTGCCATTCGCACCTTCCGTGCACGTTTCGTGTGTGGTACAGATCCTGGCAGCCAATGTGGTTTGCACGTTCTGCAGAAACAGGGAGGAGCAAAGTCATATTCCCTCTGCACGGAGTCCTTCGGCTGCGGACGTGGTCTGTTCAACAGGTCATCACCTCACCACATGTCTATGGGGTCTCGTGGTGTCCTGGCTGGCGCACTAAGCCAAAGGTTTTAAATGATCCCAAGTGGGAACCAAAGTCACCCTCGTAGCACCAGCATGGCCAGATAGATCTGGTACCTGTCCCCGAAACAGACGTGCTCCGCTCCCCACCCCACATTCCTCCTGCTTCTTCAGCTCCTCGCAAACAGCAGCCAGACTCTGCATCTCAACCGGAGTTGGTCCGTCTCGCAGCCTGACTCCTCGGTGGCTCCAGGGTGAGGAGAGACCTGTTCTGAGGATGTTAGACACCTGCTGAATAACAGGAGACCTGCTACACCGACCACATATTTACATCAATGGAAGAAAGTCCACGGGGGGCCCAAGCAAACAAATGGACAGCCCCCCCGCTGCCATAGCGTGGCCCTCGCTGCACGCACCTTCGGGTGCATCTGGCAGCCCTCGCAATGGTCCTTGACAAAGGGGATGGTGATTTGGTCTTTGCTCATCCAGTTTCCAAAAGATTCCTCCAGGAACTGTGCAACTTCTACCCAGAGCCCCCAGGCCACTGCAGCCCCTGACTTCACGCTCACAGCTGCCCCATTCAAAGCTCTGGCCACGTGTTTTCTGCTCCATCTTCCGAGTTCTGTCCGCTCTGTCGGACGCCTGGAGAAACGTGCTCTTGGGGTTGGGCCACCCGATACAGTTTTCCCTCAAACAAGGACACTCTGAGGTCTAAGGTCCCCGCTTCTTGGCGTGATGCCCCCTGGCTGCTCCGCTGGTGTCGGGCTCATCCCGGCGCCCCGGATCGGAGATCATCAGCAGCCGCTTTCCCTCAGTTCCTTCTTCACACCCTTGCTCAGCCCTCTCCTCCTCCACGAGGTGATTGGCAACCACTTGAGTCCTGTAGATGGTCAGAGAGACACAACTGAGTACTTTAGAGACTCCACCCTCCAGTCAAACAAAAACTAAAAGCTGCTGGCAGCTCTCACCGCTGCACAGCGCAAGCCCGTCACACTGAAACCAAAACACCCAAACCTCAGGAATCAACCGACACCTAACCCAGGCAGGCGGTGTGGCCCACACAACTTGGAGGGAAAACTCGGCCTGGGGGACGTGCCAGTCCTGCCTACGGACAAGAGATGTGGGAGATGCCAGGAGCCTGTGCCAGCCTCTGATGCCCACAGTGAATGCACACGCTGTCTGGGGACACGCGTGTGCCCCAAAACTGTAGCCTGTCCCAGCCTCTGATGCCCACAGTGAATGCACACGCTGTCTGGGGACACGCGTGTGCCCCAAAACTGTGTCGCCACCGCAGCTTGGCAGCGAGGGCTCGCAAGGGAAGGGATCTCTTGGCTCACACGCTGTCTGGGGACGTGTACAGCACCACTGTGTCCCCGTCGCAGCCTGGCAGCGAGGGCTCGCAAGGGAAG